TTGTACCGAACGAGCGACCATCCACTCGGGACAATGCCCATGTGGTTCAGTTGACGCTCCGTCTTGCGAAACTCAATCCTGAACTTGCCAGCGATCTCCGGGCTTTCTCAGACTTTTCCTCGCGTCCGCACAATTTTGACACTCACTCAGTCAGAGCTGAGCGCACCATTCGTATATACAGACCAATGGCCGCCGGCTGAAATTGAATCTTGTTATAGAGTAATGCTGTCGCACAGTGGGAGTTTAGTTCGAGTTGGGAAAAAGCTTCGGAGCGATAGAATGATCCAGTGCGAGTGCGATCCGTCGCGATGCGTTACGGCTCGGAACGAGACGATGTTATCGGAGCAAATAATCGTCTCCGATGCAGGCAAATCGAGATGTTCGCACGTTCACTCGGCAAATAGACACTCAATACTTTCCCGATTGCCCGATGCATCCGGAGCGCCTTCTCTCCCTCTGTCGCAATAGCAGCCGTCAATATTTATGCTGTGAGATACGTTACGTCTATTCACAACTCAACCCGTATGAGAGACATCATTTTCGAGTCTTCGATTGATTTATCGATTGATTCAAAGCGGATGACGTCTCCGTTCATCGGGCCTCGCAGATGGGTCTTATCTATATCCAATGAGTTCCTTTAGGAAGTGGTTCTCGAACTTTTACGGGCCGTGGACCCCCGTGGACCCCCTATGGATTTGTAGCATTAGATCCAAGGACCCTGTGGGGGTCCTCAGGGACCCCTCCAATAGGATCCTATGGAGAGCCGAAAATCGCCATGGACCCCCAGGGGTCCCTGTGGACCACTTTGAGAACCACTGCTTTACGGGGACCACACCGACGGGTGGTCGAGTGGGTAGCGCGTTTGTCACTTCTCGTGCAAACGTGCATAGCCGCAACGACGCCGCTCGCGCGGGAGGCGGTGTGGGTTCGATCCCTGCTGCCGGAAAAATATGCAGGTACTCGGCCTTGATCCTCCTGGGTACATTTGCTCTATGGATCCGTCCTCGGAAGCAGTGTGAATAACAGTACCCGGGACGTTAAACCTTGGCTGTGTGGATCAGCCCGAAAAAGTTTTTTTTTGCTTTACGGGGACCAACAACTAATCCGAGGCCGATTTTGTCGCGGTGCGAGGCTCGGAGCATACGAGACAAAATGGAGGAGGAGGGCTTATTCGTCGAGTCCAAAGTAGCAGATTCTGAGCGCTGCTCGTGCTCTGAATGAGATCCTGATTCGGTCCGGAGTAATTATCTCAGCCTCCACTCCATGCAACCCTCTGCGGAGCCTAATTACCGCCGGAGATAATTGCAGGTAGTCCTATGTTCGTCTAACAGGGATTAAGCTAGATCAGCGCAAAAAACGCATTCGAGGAGAAGAACAGCCAATTGAAAATGACAAACAAGGAAGCGAATCAGCAAGCGACTCCCGAAAACCAGAAGGATCCTGGTCGGACTCACATCTGTATATTCTTACTTTGAGACTAAAAACTACGCTGGATTATTTATTGTTACATGCGTCAGTTGAAGGATTCTAGTCTCCGTCACGGTTCCGCGAAATACACGGAAAAAAGCTGCCGCAAGCCCCGGTAATCCGACGGTGCGTCTATCGACTTTGAAACTCGTCTTCGTCGACCCTCCGTATCCGGTGGAAGTCCCGCCAGGACGACTTGGGGCTTCTCGTGGCAGCTCGGCGGAAAGTGGATACAAGACGTAGGCTGTGTTCATCAAGGCAAAGATCTCGTTACTCCCGTCGACCTCCTTCCCGATAGTTTGCTCTGTGTAGACACTCGACTCCATTCCACCATTCCCTGCTCGACACGTTCCCTATCGCCTTCCGCTTCGTCGCCTCGTTGCCCAACATCGCGTAGCCGTCCACTTTAATTTGACGGCCGGGCGACGATTCGATTCTATCGCCTCCAGGCCGTGCGTTATTTCTGTCTCCGTGCAGCGCCGCTTCCAACCTGTTTCCATAGAGCTGCGAGTCGATACGGTTATTGCAATGCACATTCCGGGACTTGTTAGCTCCGAATCGATCGCTTGTTGAAATGTCCGGAGTGGCTTTTGCTGTCCTCTTCGCGGAGATTTCTCTTCGCCAACGCAAAAACAGTTCTGTTGCGTTTTATCGCGAAGGGTCGTATCTGGTTACTCGTTTTCCTGCCCCGCGAGGGAACACAAATCAAGTCTGCGAGTCCCCGAGGAGCCAATTCGTGGACCGAACGGCAATTCCGGATTTGATGGCGGATTTGCCTTTCATCCGATTGCCTCTGTAAGTCTCAGCGATCCTGTCGCCAATCCCTGTTTCTCAAGACCGTCTTCAAGAACGCGGAGGAAGAATGGCATCGGGAAGAAGCCTCGCGGAGCAAATTCTCGTTCCCGAGAGAGGAATCGGAGATGAAGGAGGCCGGGTGCGATCACTCGAACGCGAGGTTTTCTCCGCCAGCGACGCGCCCATTCATCGATAGGAATTCCTGATTGGGAGCGATTTCCGGTGAAGGCAAATTCCGTTTTTCGACTTTCGAGAGGGGTCGCGCACGGAGCACTACTTGGACCTATCTTCGCGTGACCGATCTTCAGAAGCAGCCTTCCGAGGTCATAGGAAACATCAGGATTTTTATGAAACATGGTTGCGGAGGCCCTTCGGCTAGAGCGAGGAATCCCAGGAATGAGGTCCTCGTCTGCGACGAGTTTGCGAGGGCGGATGAAGATGATCAAATTAAACCTCTCCTCGACTTTTCTCGGAAGCTCGTTTGGACCTCCGGAACTACATATGTATCTAGTTGGCACTCGTAACACAGTATCGTCAGGTTCCAACGAAGCAAGCCACGAGAAACTATCGCGTAGATCCGATGATTGCAGGGCCCTCCGTCAAGTTCTCTGGAGTCAGCCTCCGTGTTTGAGAATCGAACCACTGTCTAAATCATCAGCACTCATTTCGACGAACTTGTAGTCCGTCATTGAGCTCCTCTTGATTAGAATGAATCGATATCATTTTAGTCCTCTACATCTAAATTCGAATCCTGAGAATTCCGTCCCTCGAGAGTTGTCTATGGCGAGCCCGCCGAAAGCTCTTGGCCCTTCAGTGGATCTTACCCCCCGCTCCCTGCTTACGACTCCACCACATAGAAGTCAATTTTCCAAAGCATCGCATAACTGGGAGCCATAAGTACCCAGAGATGCTACGAGTATGGAAATTTCCCGGAATGGAGTGGAGCGTTCTTTGTTTTGTCCAAGGTGGCACTAGCAGTCAGGGGTCGTAGACGTTCGAACCGCCATGTTGGGGGTCCTCCAGAAGCTGCACTCCTCCGTTTTGGAATCTCGAGAATGCGTCAGCAATGAAGGCGTGTCCGTCTTGCAAAATCTCGATTGGTCATTTTATTATTCAATGCAGAAGAAAATTTGCTTCCGATACAATTACCATAACATCATTCTCGTCGACATTGTCATCGGTACCATTATCTAATCACATGTCGCTAAATTATATGTATGTGTAGCGATTGGACAAAATGGGTGTCTTACAAGTGTACTTTCCATGGGCCTACACGTTTGGTTCCTCTGTCGGACTCCCGGGACAGAGTTCGGTCACGTCGAGTACGAACACTCAATATTGAACTCGCGTGATTCAGCATCGGGTTCATAATAAAGTCTTCAATAAAAAAGTCTTCGGCTAAGTTATCCTAGCGATCGATCTCACTGGATCGTCGTTGAACCCTCGTCACCCTATCGTCAGCGTCGAAATTCTCACAAAACTCAACGCTATCAAGAATACTCTCGGCATCCATTGACGATTGCAATTATGTCGATGCCCTTACGCCTGGCTTCGATCCCCGAATGGGTTCAAAGTTATAAACAACAATGTATCGAATTCCGCTCGCCCAGATGGTATTGCATCATCGAACCTTACAGTTTAGGATGATCACTGGACTTTGTGGGAATGCCTCGAAATCGCTCCATCGCTCATCGATCGTTGATAATAATCGTCGATCGTTGGCGGGACAGCGATTATAATCTCCAGATTTCACTATGAGCGAGCCCCTCGTTGTTTCATGGATGAAAGCTACGGACTTTCTGAAAATTTCCCCTTCTACAAGAAGAGGCCTTCGAAGATCAAGGTCTCTATAATTCACCGCACCAGTACGCGATGCAGAAAATGTGGTCGGTTGACTGCGGTACATCGAGCACTACCTTCGTGACTTTCAGACAGGGCGCGACCGGCTGCGACGGAATTATTACCATAATAAAGTGAACAACTAGCGTTCCCCGTCCATCGTGGCTTCTCTTTGGGTCCGTAATTCGACAAAGTGGGAAAATTCAAGACTTTCCTTCGACAACGGGGTGGCGGGTTCAGAGACGAGTTCTTCATGGGAAGTGTAATCCACACTCCTCGATTCACATACCACCATTCCGAACATCGATTCGGGCCTCGAGCCTCAATGATAATTTAGACTAGGGTGATGAAGGAAATTGAATTCAAGATAAATACGGTAATCATGATGAGAAGGCTCGAAGAATTCAAAAAACAGCGATAAGAAAGGAGCAGAGTCGAGTTTCGAAATTACAACAACCATCATCAAGATCAATCACTCCCCCAAATCCGCTCGTCGATACAATAATTATTAATATTATTATTATTATTACATTATTAGTTACCTCATCATTTTATTCAATAATGACAATATTGATATGTCACGACGATCTCGAAGTCGGAGCACCTTGTCCTGGAGAAGAGCATCATCATGACCTTGCCGTTTCCGCTGCCAGTCGGCGAAGCTCGGGGAGCAGCACTGCAGGGACGCCCGCAGCAGGGAAAATACGGAAGGGTGGAGAAACTGCTGAGCGAGAATGCCCTCGGGCTCGAGAGTAGCCAGTCATCTGTCGTCTCTCCTGGCTCGCTCCAAGATGTCGAATTGGCCCCAATTGTTCTTCTCTGTTCTTTTCATATGTACAAATGGGATGCGTTCCCCGTTTCCGGGAAACCTTAACCGAACAGAGACCAGGATTCGGAGCTCAGACTCCGAATCGAGGCACAAGGTACGGCGTGAAGATGGTCCGTGTGCGCGCTTTGATCTTACATTGGTTCAATGGTGAATGAGCCCATTCTGGAATGAGAAACAACAAAATGAACTATTATACGTACTCATGGAACTCCTGACCTCCTGCTGTACTTTCGGGAATAGGCCCTCGCTGCCCGGACCCGGAGCGGACGGGAGCGGTGGTATTTTCGGCGGAATACGAATGAACCAGGTTAGTCATTCTCCTCGGAGAACTCTCAAGAGGGAGAGCTCGGAAAGAGCTCCATGAGCCCGAATAAAACGCTTTGCACGAGGTATTTCGCTGCCACGTTTTTTATGCCCCAGGAACGTTGGAGAGCCTTTAACACCCTCTCTCTCGATATAAATCCCTGTTGTTGTAGTCCTTGCGTACTTCCGCTGAGCTCATCTGCATATGTGGATGGATACACACGGTCAGAGAGAACTTAGGGACTACCTGGCGGGCCGTCCGCCATCCACTCTGTTGAAAGTTACTCGTCGCTCATTCGGAGCCGGGATCCAGGGCCATTGAGGTTGGCGACGGCCGCTTTACGAACGCTCCGGGAGCACCGCAGGGAGATTGGGATGAGAGCTCACAGGGAAACGTCTTGATTCGTGAGCCGCAGAGGACGAGCTCTCCATCCTCGGTCTGGCGGTCGAGGGAAATTCCCGCAGGCCGAGGTTTACATTCTTACGTCACTCCGACTTCATCAAACGAGCATTTCGGAAGGTTGTTCATTCAGGAATATATTGCATCATCAACGTATTTTATTGAGAAACAACGAGCCAACGAGGAAAGCGAATTGAATCTCGAAAGCGGTCCCAAGACAAGACAGTGCTCACCAACAAATTCCTCGGTGAAAGTTTGGCTGTTTTGAGTGGCCGCATCGTCTTTCTGTACTCCGTTCGTCTGTTGCGAAGCCACCTGAACCGCCGTGGGGTCAGGATACTCGTCTCCATACAGCTGCGAGGACAAAGGAAGCAGTCAGTGGATTCGATGCAGGCGATGTTTTTCAGAGAGCATCTATTAAATCTTCTCAAGACCGACGGGAACGGAGAACGATGGAGGAACTCCGAATCGCTGGAGAAGGGGAAGAACACGAAGAGACTTACGAATTGATCCGACGGGTTCGGTGGGTTTTGGCCATCCGCTTGCGTGGTAGTAACCTCGGTTATCTGCCGTTGCATTGCTGCTTGACTGTAGCGGGTAGCTGCTGCGAGTCTGGAGAAAATGAAGAAATATTCCTACTTAGAGCCCTCACAGGAAGCGATAACCGCGCCAGCAGGGCCGGCAGTCAAGACGACGGAAACCATGAACCATAAGTCTCTTCGACTCACCTCTGCAGTTGCTGCTGTTGGGCCACTGCGACCGCGGCCGCCGCCGCCTGGTTTGGCTGCAGTACTGGAAGTCGAGGCAATAGACCCACTGGGACGAGACCCGGTCTCATTGGAACCAGGCTGCCAGGTGTGGTAGGTATGCTGCAAGAGGCGAACTTCAACATGTCAGTTACTCAGACGCTCTCGGGGCCGAGTTCGTCGTTGACGCCGTGGCGGAAGTCTCGCAGCAACCGGCGAGGTTTTATTGAGCAAACGAGAGGAGAACGAGCGAGGGAGCGAGCATTCCCCTTGGCGGCGCTAAACAAAACGCGCGCGCGAAATCCTCGCGGTGATCCTGTTCCTCTGAGGAGGACCCCATCATCCGGTAGTGTTCCATACGCTCGTCTTTGCACCGAGCGACGACGTCTCGCGGAAAATCCCCCGCATGTTCGGTGCTGATGATGATGATTACGACGTCGAAGAGCTCAGTCGCACATTCGGATATCTTGGAAGACTAGTCCGTGGCGCGAAATGGATTTTTCACAATCAAGCCGACAACAATCGGGCTCTTCTCGGAACCCAGGAGAATACCGCCGAGGGGTATTCAGTCGGAGTCGGGATATTCATTCGGAGCATATTCAACAAAAGGGGTCGGAAGCACAGAGGCGTATTTCCTGCTGGGTCCTGTCATCGGAGATCCCGTGCCTCGCGCGGAAGAGACTCTTTCGAAAAAGACACTTACCCCATGGGAAATGCAGTGACAGAAGGAAACGCGGTAGTGGTCGTGGGCGCCATAACGGGTGAGGTGGTGGCTTGCAGAGACGGTGAAGTCGACGATACGCCTAACGTAGGGCTCTGAGATCCTCCCAAGATGTCTCCGGCTTTGCGACTGTCGCGATTTAAAAGTGCTAGTTCTCGTAGTTGATTCTGTCGGATATCGTCGTAGTAATCCTGGAAAATTGCGGAACCATTATCGCGATTAGAGCAGCGAAGACGGAGACGATTACGCTACAGAAGCAATCCCAGCGAGTGGACGGGAATATCTTAGCCAATTATCTATCAGAGAAGAGTCGATGCGCTCTGCTCGCCGGACACTAGTCGGACACGTTGGATCGTGAAGTCGACGCGGCCGCTGTCTCGGTCGTAATAAAATCAACTTCCTCGCTGGGCCTATTAGGAGAGGCAGAGGAAAAGAAAAACGGGAGTTGTTCTGCGAAGTAAGAGCGGAACTACAGTGGGGTGGCTCGAGTGCGCGCCCCGGCTGACTTCCTTGCCGTCGACGACGTGGAATTGAATTATTCCCTCCTAAGGCAGATGTCAGAATCTCGTATTCCCTTGTCGAGGGTGGAGACAGACAAGCGGCGGGCGGACATAATTGTGGGACAAACAAATCGAGCGGCTCGTGACTTCCGTTCTCGCCCGCTCTGCGACTCGGACAGATTGAAAAATGCGTAGTCATCGACCTTGAACGGTCGAAGCAAAACACTCGTTCTCTCAGGACAATGAGCGTTGTCGTTCTTGTTGTTGTTGCTGTTGTTGCCGTTGTTGTTGTTGTTGTCGTTCTTGTTGTTCTCGACGTTTCAACGAGAGTCGTACGAATGGGAGTGAACCCCACAGCTAACTGCGTTCTCTTTTCCCTTGACGGGAGGAAGTGGGCGCCAGACCAACGTCTAGAGAGCCAACGACCGGCGGCGGAAGTGCGAGGTGACAATGATGTATCGCTAGCAGGAGTCGTACAGCCGCTCGCCTCGGATCCGCGGAGTTTCGCTCTCTTCGCTCTAAAGCCGAACACTCTCGGCGGGCATGCGATCCGTACAAACGAACGAGTGAGAGACGGGGTGAGTCAGTGAGCGACCCACTAACGGGCGGCGAGCGGAGAAGAATCCAGGAAGGGAGGAACGAGAAAATGTCATGCAAGTGGCAGGTGTCTTTATCCCAGAAGTGCCTCAGAGTAATGAAGCTACGCGCGATCCTCATTTTGCAATGCTCCTTTCGCGGCGACGCGGGTACCGTCCTTTCGGTGTCCCACCCACAGCGCGCGAACGCTTAGGAATGAAGCGCGCCCGCTCGCTCTCTCTTTCGCGACAGCGAGGCGGCGAAAGTGGGTCGGAAGCCGTCGAGTGGAGCCGAAGAGATTCGAGATTGGAGTGTTAGGAATCAGACGGGGAGGGGGGCGTTGGGAGAGAGCGAGATCGGTATGGGGCCCGGGAGGGGCAAACAGGGAAATGGTTGAACGAGGGAAGACGGTACAGCATTAATATATACGAAGGTGCCCATTAACGAGCCATCGAAACGGTGTAGGGTCTGAAGCATGGTTCGGACCGGCGCTTCCGACGAGGAGCCGTCGACGACCCAGTAGGAGAAGTCACTTACGGGAACGAGGAAAGGCTTCAGTTCTGAGATGGCATGGGACATTCTACTGTAAGCTTCTGCAGGTGGGGCGAATGTCGTCACTTCAACATGGAGGTCCTCATGGAGGTGAGAGTACTTCGGGTCGGATAGCTGTCTCAGTTCTTCTTCCTGCAAAATTCCAGGCGTTATTTCCTGGGTGGTCGTCGCACCATCCCACAACAACAGCGATCCCCGGAGCGTTCGGACTCGACGTGGGCTCCCGGTCATTTCCAGAGGAGACCAGCGGAAGGACCGCGCGCCGCCACTGCCATCGCCGTCAGAAAGATAGATAGACAGACGAGAATCAGACAGATAGACAAGCTGGAACAGAAAACGACGGCGCGGGAACCACCTTGCCCAATCAGCGACAGGAAGTAGACATTAGCGGTGACGTAGAGAGAGAGTGAGGGAGAGGGAGAGAGAGAGGAAGATGTAGAGGAGGCTGGGATATAATTCACGTGCCGCTACGTACCTTGGTCTTGTCACGAAACGAACCGCGACCGAGGATGGCCATCTTCGTTTGTGTTTCTTCCTGCAGACGCTTCAGCGAATTTCCCTTGGGCCCAAGAAGTTTCCCGACAAAGTTGAACTGCAAGTCGAAAAGAGCAACATTGCCACAGGTCTGATATGTAACAAGAGAGATTTCGTCTCGCTGACGGACTGAGACTTTCCGTCGACGTACGAATGTGCAAACGTACGTATGTGTACTTCCGTACGTCTGTACCCGGAGTCGTATCGCGTTATTTTTCCCTCTATTCCGCCCGTCGTTCGCCGCTGCACCATTGACACTAAACGAGCAGTTGACCGCTTTATACCTCTGCTGGCTCGGCGAAATTGATCCTGCTGAGTACGAGGGTTTTTCTACGGCTCGACGTAGTTCAAGCGTCAGCTTGACCAGCGAGCTCCAGCTCCGATGCGCTACGACCGGTGGGGAAACCTGGGCAGGACCGCGAAAATTGCATCGCGCATCTAACAATCAATCAGCGTCCGTCGAAGAAGTTTCGCTCGACGTGTCTGGTCAGTCTCCGGCGCCGCGGCGTCCTCGACGATGCGCGACGATCGTCGTTACGGGGAACACGTCGTTGTTGTGGTAGCCATCGCTATTGTTGTCGCTGGTGTCTCGTCGTTGCTGAGGTGTCCGGCGACGGCAAAAAAGGTTTACCTCTCGCCCACCCAGACAGCGACACGCATCGGGGCAACCGTTTCGCGGCATGGAGTCCTGACCGGAGGCGAGATACGTGCTCGAGAAACGCTTCGTGGTCACCCACCGCATCTGGATTCCGCTAGCGGAAAACAGCCATGCCCGTGAAGCCCTGTCTCTCTATCGAAGTAGGTTGCTCGCTGGGTTGCCGGCTCACTCAAGGGTGCGGGAAACAGAGCAGCTGACGTCAAGGACGGGGAACATTGTTCGCTTTAGCGTGATTGGCGCGCGAGCTCCCTCCGCGAGCGTCAGAGTGGGTTCGTGAGCGAACTCGCTTCGGTAGTCGTGTGACAGGATGAAGTTTTTCCGAAATAACATGTTTTCGTCAAAGAAAGTTTCGGCGAGGAGGTCGAGGTGGGGAATCGACTCGTCAGAATGAATTCAAAGCTCCCCTTGCCTGTTTAGGCGCGAACATCTCTCCCATTTTCGATAATCGAATTATTTTCCGCTCCGAAGATCTGGTTGAGAGAGGACAAAGAGGACAAAGATCTTGCGAAACCACGATAATCTGCGTCCCAGAATACAGGGCGGATCGAGTGTTTCGTATTTTCGCGCGTTCCCCCGACAGGGTCCTTCCCTCTACAGGATCGTACCTTTAGCCAATTAAAGCGATGCCGTGAGGCAGCCTCACGGCAACCATAGAGCAAACTCACGGCAGGCCTACGCCAAAGTCTATCGGTCGCGCGTCGCTCGACTGAAGCCGATATATTGCATTGCTCGAAAAAGATTCATTCAATATTCATCAGCTCGACGGATTCAAAGTTCGCACACTAGCGCTCCTGCTCCCGCTCCACAGCCGATGCCGAAAATTCCGATCTCGATCCCGCGGCTCGCTTCGAGACGAAAATAGGGACATCGCTCGGGTGGATGGGAGAATTGCAGCAAAAGCAATCAGAGACTTGGACGTCGTGATCAGGATTGCAACGACCCACGTTCGCATCTCGTGCGCCGCCGATCTCTCGCCGATTCGCATCTTACGCCCAAATAGGTCTTCGCTGTGCGTGTTCGTCCGCACTAACAATCTGTCAACGGCCTTCGCGGCGGATTCCAACCCATCGATCGCGGAGTCATCGGATGCGCAGACTCCTTCACCGAGTGTCGAACTCATTGTTCTCGGCGGACGACATCGACGACGGACGGCGACGACGGCCAGTGCCGACAGTGTCGACGGTAGTGAGGAGGATGACGATCACCACGAGGAGGAAGAGGAGGAGGGTGTTCCGTCTTCGCCCTCCGAGGACAAAAGACTGGGATGGAACATTAATGAATAAATCACCCTCACAGGCCCCGGGCCCATTCGCCCGCTGAAGCGAAGAGAGCGGTGAGACCTGCCCGGCACCGAGAGGAATCGTCGTCCAGTTCGAACCGCCAGGACAACGACGAGCTCGTCAATTTCTTTGTTCCGCAAGGTTGTTGAGGACTATTTTCGATACGCAGCTTTCGAATACGAGGCCACAATGCGCCGTACGAGAATCCTGTGCCAAACGGAGCGTATGTGTGTCATTCTCGCGTAGTCAGCTGTCCAGCCATGCGGTCAGGTCAGTCGATCAGACTCCGGTCGGGCGTTCGGAGGTACGCTCAGACGCTTGGCCCTAATCCTTTCCTAGGGAGGTATTCGGGAGGATCACAACTCGTGAGGGCCTGATAATAATAGACAGAGAGGCGGGCGGGCGAGCGGACGGATCGATCGATCGAACGTCGGTCGATCACTGACCATCTCCGGGGTCTTGTGCCTGTCCCCCGCAGAATTTATTGCTTTCAATCTAAAAATCGCTCGCCGGATATCTCATTCCGATGCTGCTGCTCCTGCCGGCTCCCTACATCCTGTTTTTTCTTTCAGCGCTTTTTTGTCCGTTTTCTGCTCTCCTGAGCTCAGTGAACTTAAAATATTGCCCATGGGATCTCGCTGCCCGAGCTGCCGGCTTCGCCGTTTTAACGTAGTCAGCCAAGCAAGGCGAGCCAGGGAGGAACCCGGAGCCTCGGACGACGAACATGGCGCCGATGGCCGCTGCGGCAGCAGCCATCTCCGTATTCGTTTACGGATTTTAGTACATGTTGAGCTTAAGCAACAAAGACGGCGATAACACGACGAAGTGTTCCAGCCCCTTCGGCACCGGGAGTATTCTTTCAGGAGGGGGTGGCGGATTGCACCGAATCACGCCAACCTTCAGCCACTCCGGCGCAAGCTCCGCGTTGCAGCCTAGGCCCGGACCGACTTTGCGACCCCGCAAGTTTTGCGTTGTCAGCTCGACTTTCCTCCAAGTGTCGCTCGTTCAACTCGAAATTCGCTCTGTCGGAGCTTTGCCAAAGCCTCTCCTACTATAGGGGCAAGAAGATAATAATTCGTAGCCTTATCTCGCCACGATCGACTGGAGAGCTTCCAGTCGACCGTAAGTTCGTTGCTCTTACGTTCGGATGGTCCTTGACTGGAACTACGACACGGACTTGAAGTCTGATTGGTCGACCCTTGTGGATATCTATGAAGCTGGATTTTGTACCGCCGTTCTGGAGACGTCCAATTTCTGCAAAGAGAGAAAAAATCCTATTAGACTAATGACGGACCGGCGGCTTCATCTTCTTCGCCCTCGGAGACGGCCACACACCGGCACGGATCTCCGGCAAAGACTCGGTCTCCGGTGGAGAGCGCCGAACGAATTTCTTCCTCGTTGGCTTTGCATTATTCCGTTCAGCCGTGAGCGATTCCCGACCATTCGAACCGCTGCGCCGCTAAACCTCAATAGTAGTAGAAATCGATGAGCATAGAAACCGGTCCCGATAGGAAGGGGGAATTCCCAGATCCGCCGAGAGCTCGATCGGATTATAAAGTTGCCCATCGACGTGCCCGCCCGCACGTCGCCCTGCCCCTAGTAAACGTCAATTAATTACCTAATTGGTGGCTCATGCAATCGTGTGGAGCACAACACTGTATGACTGTGGCTCCATAAAAGTTGCTCAGAGGCCCCGTTTAACGATTAGCTCGGACTCATGCGGCTAGGATCCGTCCCCTGATATCCCTCGGTCCGACGGTCACCGCCATCGTTGCGGTCGAAGAGTTCACGACGGCAACACCCTCTGGTTAGTGGCACTGCCGCGAGTTGCGATGAATTTGTCCTCATTGCTTGTATCATCGACATTCTCATCAGCATGCGCCCACGTATGCCTCATTAAGTCGAACAGCCTGTTTCGTTCCTGCTCCCCCCCCGGCAGTTTATTGTTTCTCGAGAGCCGACAAGCTCGCGGAGCGAGACAAACGACAACGCCAGGAGGAATCTACTCGGAAAAGTGGAGTCTAAGCAACGTACCGACCGACGGCATCGCTATCCCTCTACTCGAGGTGTCTGTTCCTTGGACCTCTCTCCTGGTCGGGCCTCTCGGTCTCGTCGAGTTCGAACACCTGATCGATGTCTCTCGGTGCAAGGGGTCAGGCGCTGCCGTCTAAAACGGAGGTGAAATATGACTGCCTGTTTTCCGTTTGCTGCTGCGTCTGCGGTAGCGTTTGCGATAGCTCTTGCGATAGCAAACGCCTCGCCGCCGCCGCCGTTGGCGAGGCCGCGACCGTCTGCAGGACGTCGGGAAAAAGCCCGATTTGTTTTGTCAAGCAAACAACAATGGCAGATCAGGATGCGGCAAGGCAGATAATTGCAAGGTGGGTTCGAGCCCTTCTCGCCCGTCGAGGGCAGATGGCCGCCAGACGGTCAGGCGGACAGGCGAACGAACGAGCGCGGCGGTGGGCGGATGTTGCCCGCTCGTCCGCCAAGTCAGTCAGACTGCTCGTCTGTCAGTCTGTTCGCCCTCGTCTACGTTCGTTGAGCTCGTTGGTCAGTCTGGGCGGGCCGAGCGAGATACCGGAGCAGAAATGATGTTTCCTTTCAGCTGCTGTCAGCTCGCCGCCATCTTGACCGAGCGGGATTCGTAAAGACAGTAGGTCGTTGCAGGTCCTGGCGAACAGCCCGCCATAAAGCCACTCGAAGGGGCATCGGCCGATTCCCGGTTCCGAGTAGGTGGGGCTTCCGATAGAGCGGACAAGGAACGATCGGGAGAGAAGGTGTTCGTTTCGCTATGGAGTAGGAAATGTTCGGCCCACACCACCACAATGAGCCGGTGACCTCCTGTTCTTGCCCAGCTCAAGGAACAAGCAAATTGGAATTGGCTGCTAGTGCTGGTCCACCACTAGAGCTCTGCGTTGTTTTCCGAGAGAAGCCTGGCAACCACTGCCCTTTAGGACAGGGATTACATCCCCGGGTCGACCTATTTCTAAGTCTAAGACCACGAAGCCGTCCCTACACACCCACTCAACCAGCTAGTCCGTTCTCGACGCGACGTCTCTACAGACACTGACACGGCTCGAGCCGAAAAAAACTCTCTTTCCGAGCTTAGATGCGGGGGACGGCTTCGACCCTTTCTGAGGGTCGCCAGGGCGACGATCTGAAGGAATACGAGGAGCGATGCAGAAAAAAAGGTAATCAGTTGCTGACTTTAAATCTCCGAGTTCTCCCTCGCAGTCAGACGGGTTTGGCTGCTATCCTTGCCTAGTCCTCATGGGAGAAAATACGACCGGAGGGAACTAATCTAACTACAAAGCCTTTGGAGTCGACAACGTGTCTTCAGTCGAACGCGAGCTTTATCGGATCCCTGCTCTGTCGGGTCTCGGATCGAAAGCGGACGGAGCTCCTTCGATTCATTATCGTCCTGGAGATGATGATTCCGAAGTTCGAGTTTTTTCTTTACGTGAAAACGTCTTCGATTTCTCTCGGGGTATGGAATCGATGTACTTCGTCTTTATGCAACGAAATTTTAAGCTCTTTGATACCCGATGGCTCGCTTCATAGGGGAGCGATCCGTGGATCATCAGAGGGAAAGCCAGAACCGGCCGATATCGGAACCGAATTTCTGACGAGGAGCAGGATTCGAGAGAAAATTGATACACTCGGGAACATTGATGATGACAGACTTCAAGATGAGTTGAAAAAACCTGAGCTCGCAATATCAGGGTGCGATTCGAATTCCCATGAACTACAAACGACGATTCCCCTATATAATAAAAGCGCTGTGTCCGTCTGTCTGTTCGCGACTTTTCGTCGCCTTCTCTCCCCTAATTCCGTTTCCGGATAGGCTCAGCGGATGCGAGATAACGCCACAGTGATAGATTCCCACCTAGATAGATAGATAGAAGGAAAAGAGCCTCGGATGACGTCATCCAATTTGATCAATTCTCCCCCTCAGTAGTGAACCCATTAGATGAGGATTAAGATTAAATGAAACAAATAATATGTTGTCCTCGAAGAACAGATGCTTAGGAGGAGCCTTGCTTTGAATCCCTGTCCGTGACATTTGGATCGTAGATCTGGCGATAACCGATAACGAAGAGTCCAATGGGGCACTCGATCCCTCAGAATCTCACGGATGAAAAACCGACGGAAACATGCCGAAGTGCGCAAACTCAAATGATCTCGGCATAATGTTTCGACAGCATTCCCGCCGGCCGACTTGGAATGATGCGCCAAAGCCTTTCACATGGAGATTCCTGTGAATGCCTGTAGATACAGCAATATGAGGATCGGCTTAAAGCGCCGGCAGGGCTGGTGTTATAATAAATTCTCAATTCTTCCCGAATCGCCCCTCGAAGCGCATGTCGTGGGTCGTAGTTCGTGGTCCATTCCGAAGTCGGGAACTCCGAGGAATACGTCACCGGACTTCGACAGCGATCGAGACCATCCCAATGCGGTTTTCCCCTCGACTCAGAGAGCATGCTCCACACGAAGTGAAGGCTCAGATTCCGAACTCCCCTGTGGCGGATCCAGGATTTTGTTGGGGGAACGATGAGCTCTGCGGGCTGCTCCAATAAGGGACACACAGGGATCTAGAACGGTTTCGGAACCACTGGAACTGTCAACAAATTTCTCGGAAAGTCACCCGAGGTGAGCGATCTACTTCGCTTGGACCAGTGCAACCAGAACTTGCAAGCCGCTACCCCATTCGCTCCTTCCAGTGAAAAACAGAAACACGGGGCCGAGAATTCATCGAGCGGGAGCACTTCTTTTACCGTATACGCATGAGACATCAATTTTGCGTCCCTTCGTTCGATTATTATTCGCACGTTTTTCGGCAGGTCCGATCCGAAGGGGGAGTGAGGGGGTACCGATCCTTTTCTCCCCAGGGATTAGGGATCTCGATGAACACGACACCGGTCAGCGATGGAGTACATCGCAGTGCAGCCTCCCGAAGACTCATGAGACAACGGTTCTCACGGGTCGGGCACGCATTGCGGGATCCTACCGTCATCCATGAGCATTTGCAATCCTTGTGGCGAGAGCGAGGCGTCAATGCTAAATTAGACGAGCTCATGGTCTAGTGGCTAGACTCTAGCCGGTTCTCAGAAACGGCTCGTATTAGCAGCTCTCGGCTTCTTCACAAGCAGGCTCTCCAAATCATTAGCGCTCTAGTTTTCCTGTTAGAAGAACTCACATCTTCGGAGGACGTTTCCACGTACCGATAACGGCAGTAGCTTGCTACTGCCTCCTGGATTTTTCCCTCTGAAACCGAGGAGATCCCCCTCCCTGCTCAAGGAGTCAACGGAAATCGGGGAGTTCCTTGAGCCTCCGGCCACGGTCGTGCTACGTTCCTCCAAAAACCGTCGGCAATTGCGATCAGTATGAGTAGATCTCCCGGAGCTTTCGTTTCTGCTCTGAGTCGGTGGGTTCTCGGTTTGACTTGCCGTCCCTTCGCCCCCCCTCTCCCCCGCCTGTCTGTTCCGCCAAACGGACAGCCCGCCGTCAGACCGCTTGTCTTGCTCACTCTTGGCTGAACACCGGCGGAGGTAGCGGCCACAATGTTTCCCGACTTTAAACGACGGAATTGTTTTTCTTCAGCGAGCCCGCCCAACAATTCGCGTAGGTACGCTCATGGACTCAAAAAGGCGAGCCACGGTCAGGCCAGGCGACGACCGGGAGAAACAGATGGGTGAATCGACAGAAGAAGGCATCCGCATACAGCAAGCTCCCGGATTGCGTTCGTGAATGGTTCTCCTTAATCCAAGGGGGAACTCACACTCCGGCTCACCGACCATCTCTCCATCCGACAGTTTTCACCTTACTGAGTGGGGGCCGAGCCCGCAGAACAAACCCTCGAGATCCGTCACTGGGACCCGACTCCCGGCCGGCGTCATTTTTCCTCTTCGCTCGACGAAAGCGCTCGGGGATTCCGCGAGAGGCTTCCAGAAGGAAGTGTCCTCCATTGTTTGGGTCGTCGTCGAAATGCTTCCAACGTTCCTACGAGGTTCTGCGGAACTCACAAACGGTCTGTGACGCCTCCTTGCGAGTTTTCTCTTTCTCCTATCGGTTTGTATGAAGGGGAACCATGGCGAGATGGGAAGGTTAACACAGGTGCGCTGAGAGGATTTCGATAGCCGTAGAGAACGGCACATCGGCCGATCGTTACGACGTTCAGACTCAGCCATTTCTCCGGCTTCGGGAGAATAAGAGACCTCTCTAGACAGGGGTAATGCTACACAGTGCTCCTCGGT